TCACTATTAAAGGGAGGTAACTAGTTACTATAAACTAGTTTTCACTATTAAAGAGAGGTAACTAGATACTATAAATTGATTTTCACTAATTAAGGCAGGTAACTAGTTACTATGAATTAATTTTCACTATTAAAGGGGGGTAACTAGTTACTATAAACTAGTTTTCACTATTAAAGGGGGGTAATTAATCACTAAAAATTAATTTTCACTATTAAAAGGAGGTAACTAGTTACTATGAATTAATTTTCACTAATTAAGGGAGGTAACTAGTTGTAACGCACCAGTAAAGGGATAGGAAGAGAAATGTTCTACTTCTCTAAAACTCTGGACGTCAGAGAGTAGTACTTCTTGCAAAAACCCAATTCTTTGGAACACTAGTCCAATTTGAATTGGCACCGCAATATGATAAAGTTAAAGTGGGCACGTTACCAGCTTAAAAGTGGTATATTCGTGACAATCCTCTAATACAGCAACACCGGAACAGGAACCCCAAGATGCGATGTAAAAACACACTAATTCAACAAAATCAGGTTTATTTCCATCATTAAGGCATCTAACTATATAATATGCATAAAAGAAATACAACATTGACGTACAATACTGTGCCGAAATAAGACGGTCTTGGTATATAGAGATCACCCAAGTTGCCTTGTTGCTCTCTACTCAAATAATACGTATGGAAAACGACAAGGTAGTCTAGATTATATGAGTACCATAACGGAAGTTGTTTACAACTATTAATAGACAATTATAAGTATTTTAAAACATCGATAGAAAATGTTTAAAAAGCATGACACGGCAAACGATTCATGATAACGGCTAAAACTATCGTTTAACTTTACAAGAAATAGTATTATCGTTAAATTAAGTGTTAATTTACCTGAGTTTGTGTAATTTTACTGCTGTCAAATCTTTGCGTGAAATTCGATATGAGTTTAGATTTGATCTGCCAGACGCACAAAAGAGTAAACAAAATGACTAGCTACAGACTACTACTATTTTCTTCTACACTAGTTACTATAAACTAGTTTTCACTATTAAAGGGAGGTTACTAGTTACTACAAATTAATTTTCACTATTAAGGGAAGTAACTATTTACTATGAATTATTTCCACTAATTAAGGGAGGTAACTAGTTACTATAAACTAGTTTTCACTATTAAAGGGAGGTTACTAGTTACTACAAATTAATTTTCTTTAATAAAGGGAGATAACTAGTTACTATAAATTAATTTTCACTTAAAAAGGCAGGTATCTAGTTACTATGAATTAGTTTACACTGTTAAATGGAGGTAAT